CCCCAAAACCCCAAAACCCCAAAACCCCAACATAACCTCTCTCAATAGAAATATAACTATTAAGATCCCTTCATGCCAGCTTGGCTGAGCTAAATATAATGATATCGGTCAAAATTATACTCATGAGGCTTTCTGAATTATTTAACCTGCGGAGCCTAGCTCAGTGAATGCTCGAGAATACAGAAGAGATTTTGAGATGCCTGGGAGACGAATTCGTGCCTAAATTACTAGAAATATAGTAGAGCAAGATGAATATGAGCATCGGCAAAATATAGCTGGCAACATATTGCTGAGCAACCTGGAAAAAATCTTTCTGATTGTTTTAATCGGAGCATGAAGCTTCAAGCTAGTCTAATTAGGCATAACTCTATCTGCCTAAAATCACAAGGCATCTAGTACTGATGATTATGTAGATAATTTGCCAGGCATTCAATGCCACCAATTGATGCTTCTGCAGTATTGATCACTCTGTTCAGCAAAGAAATGCACTAAAGAGATATCATAAAATTTAACTAAACTAATTTATCCAAAATTAAGAAGCTTCAAACATGGAATTATGTCTAAGTTGTTAGTATGATCTAAAAATTCTCACAACACCTAGAGTACCCCAAAATACTACTATCTTGGCGACAGGATTAGTCTTTTCAAATCTTCATGAAAGTTGGGATTTAAACAGAGGTGAAATAGTTACTATCTCCAAGTCGAAAGCATTTGCTAGCGTCTTCGACAAATTAAAATTCATTAGCCAAAATGACATAAGATTAATTCCAATTACTTCAAGAGTTATGTAAAAAGCTAAATGAGAGCATTGAGGACGAAAATTGCTCATGGCTTATCACATAAGAGTGTTCCCTTTTCTCGACTTTTTGAGTTTCACTAGAAAATTCTTGAAAAGATTCATGAATCAAAAATTAAATGGAAATTTGTCAACAAGTAAAGTACCTATTTCAGCAAATATATTGAGCAAAAAGACTGAGGTTCCACAGGTATGTGCATGGGTGATAGACTAATGGAAATTTTGTCTGTGAGATATAAAGGAGACCCTCAGCCTCTGATCTGAGAAGAAGTTCATGATCTCTCTACAAATTTTGTCGACATTAGAGTGACAAGACTATTACTATATATTATTACTAAACTAATCTACAAAGGGAGCACGGGCTGGTTCTGATTTATTTATCTGAAATAGTCATGACAAAGCAATAGTTGAGAAGACTTTTCAGAGGTATTCTTCCTTCCCTGCTGAGATTCATTGATCAGGATATTTCCAGCCTGAATAAAATTTTCCGAATTAAATAGATTTGAATAAATTTCCCTGCAAGAACCTAAGTAACTGCAGTCTTCACCATGAACTTATGATATAAACATTATGGTTGAGAGATAATAGGCAATAAAACCTTAATCCCTGCTCCTTTGGGTATAAATAATCTGAGTCTTATTTTCCTCTGTATTTTACCAAGCAAATGACATATAGATGAAATTAACCTTATAAACCCAAGTTCAAGCTAGTCAGCCCTGAAAACTAACTGGATGCCTATATGAAATATTAAGTTATTTCTAGACTTAAGCTCCTTGAGGAATCTCAATATCAGGAATTCGTCCCGATTTCTATCGTATAATATAAGAAACCTGTATTACAACACAGAGAAGACTTCACCTAGCTACTCTCCATGTCTGGAGCTTCCAAAAGTTTACTTTGAAGTAATAGCTTCCTCAGAAGTCCAGCTCTGCGTTTTGAAATAAACTGTTTTCGGAATTCTATAGAATCTTCACTGATTATTCCTTGTCATTGCCTAATAGCATGATAGTGATCTTACTTGAATCATATTGTTATGCAAAATATATTACTTCAAAGACATCCAAATAGCGTGAAAGATGGTCTAGTCTGAAGAGAGAAATTCAGCTACCAGGAAATTTCACTTTATATATTTAAAGGAGTGATTCATTGGTCAGCCAAGTTTTTGCCGAATTTCCTCAGAGTCAGATATAGCAATAAGGATAATAAAGCTAGAGACTTTTCATGCCATTTGATGTTCTCTGAATGCAAAAACACTAAGCTCACTTGCATTGATGAGAAGGCTAGTAAATTTTGATATTGATAATTTAGATACAAACCGACATTAAGAATAATAGAAAAGTGATTAGCCCTTAGATTTCACCTAACGATGATTAATATATCCAAAAGCTTTCCTCTCAGTCCTTTTAATCCTGTAGGTAGCCAAAGAATGACGATAAGCAACTATTTGGGTTTAAAAATATGCTAGCTAAATCTTACTCAAGTGGTATGATAATAAATTTCATCAAAATTTTCATTGTCCCTTTGATTGATAATTCAAAATGAGGCCTACAAATATGTAACCATGGCTAGGTCTGGCTGCTGGATGATTATCACATTTCTATATCTAGGCAGGGCTAGGATTATAAACACATGAAAGCCGGACAGCAATTTTATAATACAAAGAAATCCTTCAGTGGGTAATTTATTCCATTTTAAGTCAGACTTTACACCATGATATGTCGAGAGAAGTAACTAGTATCTTTTAAAGAACTCAAACTCCTCTCTTACTCAAACCATAGAGAGGTTTGGAAAACTGCAGTCTAGGGCATACATCAACAAGATCCTCACGATGCAATGGTCCTGTACTTTTATTACATAATCTGTCAACAACTTTGAAGGTGTTGACAAATAAAACAACATAAATTTGGCAACCAGAAACCAAGATAACTTAGAAATGATGCACAAGGAGCATCTGAGGTTTAGAAATTACCTAACAAATTAAAACTCAAATTTTTAGCATTAACATTCTGAACTGGAGCCCATACTCAGTCCCTAGTCTAAAAGCCCAATGCTAATTAATAGGCTAACACTAAGTACTGAAATAATCTTGAAATTTCCAAAAAGTTATGAGACTCATCTTTATCTTGCTGAAAGAAACTAATTCGCTTTAAAATAACCCAAAGATACAAATTTTCTTTGTTCCGACCAATCAGACCAAATCTCAGAGTTCTCTCTTTATGGGATAACATATTTTTGTAGTTGTAATTATAAGTTAAATTATTTAAGGAGATCTGCCATTAGAGTCCTCGAGGACTGCTGTCGCAGCAACCTCATAGACTCCTTCGAGGATGAAACCTCTTTTATTGGTTTTTTGATCGGGGAACAAGAGATTACCGTCTTGTAGCGCCCCTCATCTTTCGTTCTTTCTCAAAATTCTTGATTATTGAAAGACATATCCTTAAGCATTGACATATTATGCAACTTAAGGTGAACTGGTCTGGCCGTCTTTCATGAGTTGATTCTGCCAAGGCTCGCTTTGCCTTTATCCATGATCAAAATGTTGTTGTTGATACTAATGGCCCTGATTGGGTGCCTACTAGCTTCACTAGGAACACTAAAGTCTTCATTTAGGTCTGACATATATTTGTACATAATTATTATTTTATGTTATCTCTGAATGCCCACCTTATATGGGGTTTTGGGGTTTTGGGGTTTTGGGG